TCTGGCACCCCATTAACAGCAGGATGGGATGGGACGCTGTGGAGGCGCTTTAAGGGCCCTCGGCGTCTTGTCTTCCTTCACCTCACAGCTGTGGTTTATGATCACGTTTGTAGGGAAGTGAAAGTTTGTGTGCGGCAGCTGAATAGTACCGTGTATTCATTGTGTGTTTCAAATGAGTCCCTCGTGACTTCCAGTGAAATTTGATCCCTGTTAGCAACGAGCAGGTGAAGAGGGAGAAGTGAACAGTGCAGCAGAGCACAACATGGGAAACGAGTAACAGAGGGAGCGAGATAAACACACAAGAGAAAAAGGAGTGAATTAGAGAGGAAGCCTGGTCGCTGGAGGATTGAAAAATGATTTCCCCTGGCTCTGCAGGTTGGAGATACAGAGCACAGATCAGCGGAGGAAATCCCCTTCTCCGCACTGCTCCATCCCATCCCTCCTTCATCTCCACTGGGTTTCCTGCACTCTGTATCCCCTGAAACGGGAGGAGGCAGACGGTGTTCCAACCTGCTGCACATTTCATGAGGACTGCTCCACTATCAGCATGCCAGACTAAGACACCGAGGGCCACACCGCAGACATATTTGAGCCCAGAGCTGGCACTTTGTGATAAAAGCTAGATTAAAAGCAGAAGGTGGACCAACCACATCAAATTAATTTCCTGCACAAACAATCAGTTTGGACACTCATGCATGTCTCCAATAAGGTCATTTACAATAAAATGAAAAGACCACACGCACAAAGTTCCATTACAAACCTTTTTATTAGGTAACAGAAAGCCTTTTGTAACTGTGTGTGTGCGTGCGCGCGTGTGTGTGTAAAAAAAAAAGAATTAACACTTTCAATCACTTTGACCTCCTGTTAATGCTTCAAAATTAAAGATTTATAAATACCACGAACAACAAAAGCAAATACATTCTGCTTTATTTTGAACAGATTAGAAGAAAAGAAAAAAGGCAATTTGGACGTAACACATGTGAACTTATCCAGCATTCGTTTAAAAATAAAAATTAAAAACCTAAAAAGTAAGACAGAAATGGGCTCCTTTCCAATTAAGGATCTGCTTAGACTCGTAGCTTTGAAGACTATACTAGTAGTTTTGTGTTTTAGGGTTCAAACAGCAAATATTTGATTTTTTTTTTTAAATCAGTTTTCAAATGATTTAATGTAAGTAGCCATCTTGTTTATTAAAGTACAATATATACATCATTTCCCCCTAAAACACAAAACCCAAAACAGTATAGGGCTTCAACTTGACCTTGGATTGTATACAATGTACATACAGTACATA